TTAAAATCATCAAATGTATCAGCTTGATAATGTTTCGTCAATGGAATACCATCAACAATTGGTGTTGTAAATCCAATGAATGAGTTTGTCGACGAATCGTATTCAACTTTAGGAATGACACCAGTAGTACCTTCAGAACAAAATCCAAAACCTGATTGAAACTTTTGAAGTGAGTCAAATTTAAATTCTGCCTCAGTTAAAGTCATATTCGATTTATTAATTAAATCACCAAGTGTTGACAAATGCGGTATACTACCAGGCATATTTAAACGAACGAACTCATAGCATTGTTTACCACCGAAAATGTATAAGCATATGGCAAATTTTTTAATTGATTCAGTGTATCTAAAATTATTTGAAGATTGTGTAAGATTGAATACCACATTATCGATGAACATCGTTAAAAACCTATTTGCTTTGTTGTTGTTTTCCGAGTCATTTTGTTGATAGCATCTAAGTAAAGATTTTAAAAGCGGATGCTTGTCAATAAACTCGTTAGATATAAATGTATCTCGAGTTTCTTTATTTTCATTTAGTGTTAATTCTTCTTTTAGCTTCTGGTTTAATAATTTGATTAAATATGATAAACTGGTTTGAATACCGGGTTTAACAAAATATTGTCCAGTTTTAGATTTAAAACAAGATTCAGCTTTTATTTTATCTGTTTCTTCAGATTCAATTTGAAAAAATGCGAATACATCAGGTGTAGATAACAGTTTTCTTACCGAATTAATTAGGTGTATCCGTAAAATATTGAATACTGAATCACCGGCTGATGCTTTAACAATAGAAAAAAAATCATCATCCACACATGTAAATATATCATTTGGTAACACTGATGTATCAATTAATGAACTATCTTTGTCTACGCCGAAATTCATTTCGTACAATAAATTTTATGCGGGTACCTAAAACAATTATGTTAATGTACATAGAAATAGAAGGTTTCATGTATAAGTACGTTACCGGAAAAGACTTTAAGTAACGATTGTAAATTTGCCTCGTTCAATTATTGTTAAACAGTTTGTTAATATGTTCAGAAAAAATAGGATTAGCACGACTGTTACTTGAAAATTTATCTGAAACAGATAATAAGAATATTTGAAATCATAAAAATGTTATCAACAAACTATTGAATCATTCAAAAGAAAATATTGATACGATTAGCAGTTATTTTATGCGTCCTTTTATGTATTTAACATAATAAGATAACTAGTCTTTTGGATATATTGAAGTGTGTAATTTAGCTCTTCTTTTATTTTTATGTATAGCTTGATTGCGTTAATTTTGACCATTTTTACTAGACTCGTCATATCTTCCTATTGTATCAAAAATTTCTAACTTTTGTATGGTTGAATAGAGCATGACTTGACCTATGGAATACCACTCTTTTTCATTCTTTTACTTTTAGCCTAAGAGAGAAAATCTAGAAAGTCTCAAAAGGTGCAAAAAGAAACCTTTTCACGATAATACCTCACACAGGTGACACCTGTTTGTGGTGAAAAGAATTTCAGATTAATGAGAATTAACAAATATGGGTCTATAAATAGCACATTGTGAAATAGTTTTCAAATTTAGTAGAAAATTTCATTTTAAGGTCAGGATTGTAGACAAGCATACATTGCTAGGTTTTCAATGATATTTGCACCGTTCGAAAATCAAGTAAATATAACAACGGAGCCATGACCAGTCGATGCAGTCGTTAATCTATCAGTGAAGAATACTCAAATAAATAAGTTATTGTCACTTAGTTGGCAATCTGACTAATATTCGAGATTTGATAGCTAATAAACTGTGCAAAATTGTCGAATTCTCTTGCCAATCTAGAGAATATATTTGATGAAAATCATACAGTTCGATAAAGCGATTCAAAATATATCGAGTTGTGTGCAGACAATGGGAGTTTACTGAACAACTAAGTTGTAATTAGCAAATTTTGATTTCAGAACTACCATTTGAAAAAAAATGTTTTGAGTGTTCTTCAAAAGTCACTGACTGCTCTACCTTAGATGCAACATAAATCAATCGAAAATAGTAGCATTTGATAGATTGAGTTATTCTCTATCCAACTATATCAAAGTTAGAAATTTTTGATCTAAAAGAAAAGTATAGAGAGTCTAGTAAAAATGATCAAAATTAGCGTAATCAAGCTGTACAACAAATTCATCATTTCTTGTAAGATGATAAATGAGAAAAAAAGCAGAAAAGAGACGGTCTTGTATGTAAAGAAGAAAAAAGAATGGAAAAAATAACAAATATGAACCAAATAGATCTGCATGAAAAGCAAATTTTATCGGTTTAATTAGGGAAACAAAACGTATATTTATGAATAAGTAACTGAAAAGTCATCTTGAATCATGTTGATAACAACGAATGAACGTTTGCGATCGCATTTAAAAAATATTCTTGACAAAAATACACCTTATGTAACATAATGACAGCAAGATCATAGACAGATTAATATATTCAATATAAAATAAAAGCAATATCTTGTCTAATTAATATGAAGCCGCAAATACATGTAGAAAATATGTTGATGTCGACATGTCGATATCGATTACTTATAATCCTTCATATTATTGAATTTTGATTTTTTATTTAATCTATTCCTTGAATAAAATAGCAGAAAATATTGTATTTTCATATTCAATATAATTGTCTTTTTATAATTATTATCCATAAAATATACTGCAAACTAACTATTTAATATCTTTCTATTAACGAATTAATTCTTCGAATCACATTTTTTTTCAAAATGTAGTGGTTTATATTATATTATTGTTTGCCAAAAATAAAATAACCTTTAACTATTATCCACATTATGTACTTACAGTCATATTGAGAAATTTTAAATAATTTAGTATATAGAAGTATTGAAAGTACTTGAAGTAGCTCAAAGTAGCTTAAAGTAGCCTAAAGTAGCTTAAAGTAGCTTAAAATAGCCTAAAGTAGCTTAAAGTACTTGAAAGTTCGTATGAAGTAGCTAAAAATCTGCTAAAAGTACTTTAAATTACCTCAAAGTACTTTAAAGTACTTGAAGTACAAAAGTCCGCCCTTTCCCCCTTGATGCAAGGACAAAGTAAATATAAATGAATTACTTGATAGTTGTTCA